AAAACTAACACTCCTTGCCTGGCTGTTTACTTACAAGTTTGAAATATGAGAGGCTTGTTCAGAAAGATGTGGAGAGCCTGGATTGATGTCTGGTCCCTCTCAGTCCCAAGAGCGAACAACCCCCAAAACAAAGAGCACAAACAAAAGCCTTTCCCCCACCAAGATTTGAAAGTATCTTGTCCCCTTATTGGTCCTTTGGGTCAGGTGTCAGCCAGGTAACCCTTTACAGGTAAAAGGCTTTTGGAGTCTCTGGCCAGGAGGGATTTTATAGTACTGTACACAGGAGGGCTGTTACCCTTCCCTTTATAGTTATGACAGGCCTTGTGGGGGAGTCCCCGGGTGGGGCTGTCAGTCCTGCAAACCCCTCGCCTTGGCGGGCGAGCTGCCTCTGGAGAGGTGCTACGGGGTGGTTACTTTCCTGGCATGGTTCCCTTCAGGTGGGAGGAGCCTGGCAGAGTGGGGCGGGGCTTAGCCCCTCACCACCACCTGGGACTAACTAGTGGCTTCCCAGGTGATGGGTCTTGGGTAAGAGGCCTTGGGACAGCTCAGGGGACGGGGAGAGGAGGCCACCCAGTCGCCCCACCTCGCTTACACGGAGCTGGTCTGATTTGGAGAAATAAACCCGTCCCCGGAGAAAATCTCCTGACAAGTCTGGGAGTGCTACGGGGGCCGGTGAGTCAACCCCACTGGTTTACAGGGTGCGGGGACCCCCTGTGCAGGTTGGTGCTTTGTTGAGAGGCCGAGGATCCCGGTGGTCTGGAGCCGTTTGGGAGTTTCCAGCAACTTGAGAGCGCGTTAGCAAGGCCCAGCGGGGCTGGAGGCCCTGGGGCAGGGGCTGCGTGGGGAGATCAGGATGGCGGTTTCTTTACAAGGCTGCGCCCAGCCCTCGGTGTGGGGAAAACCTTGACCGTGCCCTGCCTAAACCTGAAATGAGCTTGGGAGAGGCATGAACGGCCCCGTTCCTTCTCACTCTAAACTGCTGCAATCCCATGGATGGGGGAGGGGACGGCCCACATGTGGGGTGTGTCATGGGCCCTGCATGGCCTTCGTTGGGGGTAACTGGTTGCTGAGCAGCTTAGAGGGGAGGCCGGTGCGGCTCAGCAGGGCGAGTCCAGAGGAAGGGAGGGAACAGCAGAGCCAGAATCCGTAACCTGAGCAAGTGTAACATTGACAGACCCCGGTCGTCAGGATCGAACCTGGGACCTCTGGCGCTTCGCTAACGCTGTGCAGCAGCCTCGTTTGCTCTCTCGCTCAGTGGTCTCGTTCTGCTAGATGGGACACAACACCACACCCAGGTGTGTGGGTTACACAAGGTGCTTTGCTCCCAGCTTCTGTGGGCCTAGT